TCTCCATGGCTTGCTCTGCTTTCTTTCTTATATAGCCCAGGACCACTTCCCAGGGATGGCACTGCTCATAGTGAGCTGGGCTGTCCATCATCAATCATTAATATGAAAGCATTCCCTAAGGACTAGCTTTCATAGTACTAGAAGTTGCTATGCAAGCTTCCAAGGGAGGGAAGCCATCCATAGCCCTACCTAGCTGTGATGCTTATGAACCATAACAATGACCAGCATGTGCCACACCCAGCATGACTTCAGGGATGGGCTTGACTGGGGCAGTGAGGAATGAAGAAAATATGGATGGTTGGACACATGGGCACACAGAAACGCCGGCATTGGGCAGACTGGATCTCTGATGAAGAAACTACAGCATTTTGGAAGCTCAGCGCATTTATTATGTAAAGTTGAACAGAGACATGAGGCTATTTCATACAGCTGAACAAGGGGGTGGGGTTATTACGTACAGATAAACAAGGAATCAGGGTTTATGGTATACAGCTGGATCAAGGGGACAGGCTTAGCTAATCTTGGTAGAAACAGTCTCTGTAGGTGAGCAGTTTTCAGGCCACAAGTATCCAGGGGGAGAAGGCTAGCATGGACATTTTCTGCACACATTGTTAACACTAGCACTCAGCCCCCTGAGGAAGGCTTTGCAATCTCTGGACCTAAGGCTGTGGGGTCCTTAACATGGCCATGCCCACATTGACATCACACATTTACTCAGCACTTCACTCACACATGACTTTCTCAGCTCTTCACAGGCATGGCAAAATATCCGTAATCGTGCAATAGTGGCACTAATATCTTGGCAGTAACCAACAACTGTCCAATTGGCTTAGTCAACAGGAGGGAAATCATGCCTGACAATGGAAAACTAGCCAACAAACATGCCAACAGACAAATCTGATGGGAACAATTCCTCATTTGAGGTGACTTCCCGGGTGACTCTAGTTTGTGTCCAATTGACACAAACTAACCAGCACACCTAATTAACCTCCAGGTGGAACTGTAAGAGGTGGGCCAAGTGGGGATTCCTAAAGTCATAGGGAAGATACCTCTTCTCTTTTCCTTCTTGGCTATTAAGTGACCAGTTTTGCTCTATCATAATGGGTTGCCACAAAGTCAAAGCAACAGGGCTAACCAATCACGGACTAAAACTTGTGAAATTGGGAGTCATATAAACTTTGCTGATAAGTTGATCATATCAGTTGCATTGGCTTTATTTATTTATTTATTCAGTTTTTTTTTTTAACCTCAGTGTTGGGGCTGGAACCCAGGCTTTGTTTGTTTGAGGCAAATGTCCTCTCGCTGAGTTATAGCCTGCATGTATTAATTAGTTAATTAATATATTCACTCATTAATTTCTACTGTAGAGAATACAAAAATGTCATTTATTTACCTTCTTTACTAAATGATTAGCTATAAATATCCAATTTTGCCTTGCAGTTTAAGGAGTTCCTTTTTTGTCATATCCATTTTTTGTAGTCAAATGCTAAAACCAGCACCTTGTGCACTGTATCCCCAGTGCATAACTGATCATTTACATTGTATATATCTGTGTCTAAGAACACCTTGCCTTCTGCACTGTATCCAGTACTTAACTGATCATTTACATTGTATACACTCTATGTCTAAGAACCTCATTTCCCTCATGGTCCTGATGTTCAGGGATAGTGACGGCCACCACCTTCATATGTTCCAGTAATGAGTAATATCGATCACGGTTCTGAAAGTCCCTGTGAACGTATCTGGCATATGTCTTAGTATGTGGGATCCTGACATAAGGCTCACAGTTATTGAAACAAGACTCAAAAATGTCATCCACAGCCTTCTGGGCCTCTTCTCTGCTGATGTTCCGAACAGCCAAGATGGAAAGAACAGCTCTGTCCCCCACACAAGTCTGATGGTGTTGTTTTAATCCAAAATGCAACCTGAAGATTTTATTTGCAAGTCAACAGTCTCCACTGAGGCTTGCAGCTCTAATCTCCAAGTTGGCCAAATGTCTGACATTGGTAAACCAGTGGACGTGAGCCTGACAATGATGGAATGCGTGAATGAGCTCATGGGTGACGACTCTGCTCATGTGGGCCTCATTTTGGATATTATTCTGGCACAAAACAATCTGAGATGTTGAAGCATCAAACCTTCCCCTGACATTTCCACCACAGTCTTCATAAGAAAAGTCTTTCCCTTGATCAATAGCACACCTGAGTGTTTCATAGCATCGAGTAGAAGTCTGACATATGGGTCTCACAGATTTGTCTTCAGCCAATCTGATGGAGGCGTTTCCTCAACTGACTTCTTTCTCCTCAGATAACTTTAGTTGTGTCAGCTTGACAGCAAAACTAGCCAGCATACATTTTCAGAGGTTTAGTCCATTATCATCATGGCAGGACATGGCAACGTGCAGGCAGACATGGTGCTGGAGAGGTAGCTGAGAGTTCTACATCTTACACAGGCAATATTTGAGCTAGCCTGCATATTTTAGACATGCTTATTCAAATTCTTCCATTCATTTTCTACTATACTAAGTGTTGTTTTTCTTGTTATTTTGTATTTTTCTATTATTTTGGGTGTAAGTCTTCTGCTTGATGTGTTCCAGTTTTGTTCCCCCCGCCCCCAGAGTTGTGTATATGTGTGCATCGCTCTGGGGATCAAACCCTAGGTCTTGTACTTGTGAAGCATATGCTCTGCCATTGAGCAACACCTCTAAATTCCTTCAGCATGCTTAGCAAGTGCCCAATCCTTCTTCACACTTTTCTTTGTGCTTGTATGCACATACGTGTGCAAAGGAAGCCAGAGAACAACTTCGCACCTTAGGAGCTGTCTACCTTGTTTTTTGAGACAGGATCTCTCACTGGCCTGAAGCTCAGCTAGTCGGCTAGGCTGAACAGTATACTTCAGGTAGCAAACAAATTTCCCTGTCTCTGACTCCCAATGCTATGATTGCAAGGGTGTATCACTGTGCCTGGCTCTTTTCATGGGCTCTGGGGATCAAACTCAGGTTTTCATGAGTTCTGCCACTCATGGTTGTGTGGCAGAAATTTTATGACTGAGCTATCTACCTAGTTCCCTTCTTAACACTCATAATAATAACTTTGTTATTTAAAATATTTATTTTGTGTCAGGGTGTTTTGCCTGCACATGTGTCTCTGTACCATGTTCCTGCAATGCCAGTGAGGTCCAGAAGAGGATGTTAGAGCCGCTGAGACTGGACTTATTGTGGTGAGCTGCTATGTGGGTGCTGAGAATTGAACCCAGGTCCTCTACAAGAGCAGTCAGTGCACTTAACTGCAGAGCCATCTCTCCAGCCACCTAACTTTATACTTTTTAAGTTGGAAGAGTTGAAAAAACGTTGTCTCTAATTTTGGACTGTTATCCTAAGCAGCTGCTCTGTTACCCCACCATCCTTTCAGATCCTTGCCCTGGTGAACTTGATAATAGAGTAGCAGTGGTCATACTTCTTATTATCATTATTATTTTAATCGTTGATATTACAGTAAGACAAAAATATCCTGTGCCGGTCCTGAATTTGCTGTATTCTTTCTTTAGCCTCCCAAGTACTGGAGGATTACATACATGCATCACTACACTCAGGCCGGCATTAAAAAAGTAATTTAAAATGTGTATTTATGTGTGTGAGAGAGATAGAGAGACAGAGAGGAACAGAGAGAACATATGTGTGCGGGTGCCCGTGGCGATCAGAAGAGGACATCAGGTCCCCTGGTGCTTGAGCAGTTGTGAGCTGTTTGTGTGGGTGCTGGGAACTGGAGGAACTTGGGTCCTTTGGGAGAGCAGCAAGTTCTCTTAACCACTGAGCCATCTCTCCAGCCTCATGTGAGTATTAGTGTTCAAACAGTAAGCAGTTTTGCTTTGTGGGCCGCAGTCTGTTTTGCAACTATACCACTGTTCCTGTTGTAGTATGAAAGCAATCATAAGCCACAGGCAAATAAATGTGGCTATGTTCCAATAAAACTTTATAGACAGAGATAGATTGTTGGCCTGCAGGTGCTAGTTTTCTGACTTTTGCTCTGTAGGGAGGAGCATGTCCTTCCTTCCCTTCTCTCTTGCCATTAGCTGGTGCTATTGTTTGACTATTTCCACGTCCTCCAAAAATTTACATTGAAACTAAATCCTTCGAGCAGCAATGTTGGGGAATGTTTGTTAGAGGGTTGAGGCAACAAACGTGGAAATGAAAGAGGAGACAGATCTCTACAGAAACAGAATTGTCCTTCAGGCAGAGCAAATGAAGGGCAGCAGTCTCCGTGGGCGTGGGGCCTGTACAGTCGCCGTGGTGCAGGGGGCTTGGAGGTTTTCTAGGGTGAAAAGGGAACTTTTGGAGAGGTAAGGTTTAGCGGTAGATGTGGGGTTTTTTGTTTTTATGGTTTCAAGGCCCAATAGTGCCAGCGAATGTTCTCATTACTATGCAGGCTTCCTCGTCGGGCAGGTGTTCTTACCAGGATGCTGAGCAGAGAGTTTGGGCACTAGTTTGAGGTTCTTTGTTTTAAACCATTAACTCTTCAGTGTGACTCTGGTAAATGATGGCACCAGAGGAATCCATCCTCAAGACGCCGTTGTACAGGAGCTTGCCCCAGGGAAACTCTTTCCTGCTCTTCTGCCGTATGAGGCTATGGAATGACTTCCTTGGCTGATGCCACATTAAAGTGTCATCTCGGTAGTAAAGAACAGCCGCGCATTCTCAAGAGGTAGGCCCGCGCTTGAAGATTTTCATTCAGGCGCCCCCGCGGTTGCCCGGTTGCCCCGGAGACGGGGTCCTTTCTGGCGGGGCCCCAGCCATCTTGTGTAGCTGTCGTCCAATCAGCGGTTGCTCCGTGGCGGAGGGGGCGGGGCGCGCGTCGCCGGCGCTCAGCTCGCGGTCATGGAGGCGCCGGTCGGCTTGGTGCTGCTGCTGTGGTTCGGGGCCCTGGCCCCGGCTCCGGGCAGCGCCTCTTCGGAGGCTCCGCCGCTGGTCAACGAGGAGGTGAAGCGCACGGTGGACCTGAGCAGCCACTTGGCCAAGGTGACGGCCGAGGTGGTCCTGGCGCACCCGGGCGGCGGCTCCACATCACGAGCCAGCTCTTTCGTTCTGGCCCTGGAGCCGGAACTGGAGTCGCGGCTGGCGCACCTCGGCGTGCAGGTGAGCGGAGAGAGGGGCCGGAGAGGCCGCACACGGGATCCCTGAGGGGGCCGGGGGTCCCCGGGGAGGCCGGGGCGGCGCGGGGAAGTTGAGGGCGTTAAGGATCCACGAGGCGCCCGGTTGTCTGATAGGCTGATGTAGAGGGGACGGCGTGGAGGGGACGGCGTGGAGGTCGGGGTCTGCCGCCCCTGTTGTCCGCGTGTCCTCTCCGACACGTCAGCACAGGCTTTGGAGCGTCGGGCGCCGCCCACGTACGTGGCAGCTCCGGAGCCCGAGGCGACCCCTTGGTCCCCTGGCGACCACCTTCCACACCACAGGGACGTCTCGGCTGTGGCCAAGTGCGGTACTTGGGGCACTTAGCTTTTCCCCCTGTCCCCTGGACGTGCTCGTCCAGTGAAGGACCATCAGCGAGTTAAATGGATTAATTCCTGAATGCAGTAGTCTGTCCGATGTTCTCTCTGGACAGCAGCGTTCGGAAATGTAACAGGTTTCTGGTGTTCAAGTTTGTCATTGCTCACACCTCTAAAAGCTGCTGCTGAACACTTTTTTTTAGTGTTCAAACTTGAAAAGTCTTTCAAGTAATAATGAGCCCCCTCTGCTCTACAGAAAGGTGAAACCCCGTGAGCCCCCTCTGCTGTACAGAAAGGTGAAAGAAACCCAGTCTCTTCCTCCGCACCGTCTCTCATTGGAACACCTCAGCATTAGCCTCTGTGCCTTTCAGTGAATAAGCTTTTACAGCTTTCAAGGAAAGAAATCGTTGGCTTTGGGAATAGAGGGACTATCCACACAGGTTGCTTTTTATTACTGTTTTCATTAAACTATATCCATTAAGTGATTACCCAATTTATTAGGAGGAGACTAGTTATTACAGTATCACATTTCTAAGCACACCACATTCTCTTGACTGTATGGAGCTATAAAGCTGGGCTTATAAATTGTCACTGAAATGACTCCTGTTTCTTCACATTGGACCCTTGTTCACCTGAAGCACAGCTTTCCTCAAATGTTTCTGGAAAGACATTCATGACTTAATTTAACTGACAGTGCCACCTGTGAATGTTTTGAATGTTCAATCCTATTTTGTGAAAGCTACTTATGACTTAATGAAGTCACAGTATAATCAGATTACAATATAATCATAGCTGTCGAGGTGGAGAATGCATACAAGTTGGGTCACTCCACAAGGCTCAGTAGTTAAGAGCACAGAGCATCTAAGTTCAATTCCTAGCCACATGGTGGCTCACAGCCATTTGTAACTCCAGTTCCAGGGTGCACAGACATACATGCCAGCAAAACACCGATACACATTAAAGAGAAAGGAAAAGAAAAGGTTGCAGCAGGTATTTTAAATGCATTCTCCACCTTTATAGCAGCCTTTTGAGGTATGGGTGTTATTACATGGCTATGGAAGCGTCTGGCCTTGGAGCTGTTAACCCCACAAATGAAAGTCTAATTTGTTCCATACCCTGTATTTTCCTGCATTATTTCCACCCTGCTTTCTGGCCTTGACATGAGATTAGGTCTTATGTTTCAGCTCCGCAGTTATATCACTGGTTTATTCACAGTTGTGTTAATTCTGGAGGGAGACCAGTTGAATATATGAACTGCTTTATACTCCTTACCTTGGTGAGAAAAGGCTGAATGAAAAATGTAACAAAGAACACATAGTGCGTTGGAAACTTGGGTGAGGTTGGATGGATTACAATCCTGTTTAGGAACTGGTAGAAGGACAATAGTGATTATATAGTGTTTTGTTTTGAGACAGGGTCATGTTATGTAGCCCTAAAACTGTATTAGAACTTGGAGTCCTCCTGTTGCAGCCTCCAGAATGCTGATAGTTAAAAATGACTTTGAACGTTGGGTCATCTTGCTTTGTCCCATGTACTGGCACCATGCCTGGCTCTCTCTTACCTTTACTAAGTAATGAATATTTTTTAATTTTTCATGACTATAAGTAAGCTATGCATTAACAAAGAGTTCTGAATAAGCATGAGTGTACTAAAATGTCATCCTTGTGGCAAAATTCTAGTCAAAATAAGTTGTTTTTTTTTTTTTGGTTTTTCAAGTAGAGACAGGGTTTCTCTGTGTTGTTTTGGTGCCTGTCCTGGATCTTGCTCTGTAGACCAGACTGACCTCGAACTCACAGAGATCCGCCTGGCTCTGCCTCCCTGAGTGCTGGGATTAAAGACTTTCGCCACCACTGCCCGGCAGTGGATTTTTTTTTTTAATCCTATGATATCATTGAGGCTGATTATATAACTTTTTGGGCTTTCTGAAATACTAAAAATAATACTTAAGAAATTGCTTTTGGAGTTGAGATATGGTGATGATGGCTTATATAATTTCAGCAGTTGGCAGGAGGATCAGTAGTTCAAAATCATCCTAAAGGGAGTTTGTGGCTAACTTGGGCTATGTGAGACTTGGTCTTAAAACAAAAGACAACAATTTCCTGTGGGGTTGGGCTGTGGTGCAGTGGGAAAGCACATGCTGAGCTGCACCAGGCCATGAGTGCAAGTCTCAGCTCAGCACAACACGTGAAATTATTCTTCATAGCTTTCTGTTCTTTGAGAATTACTGCCTCAGTCCTAGAAAAGTCTTTTTTTTTTTTTTTCTGGTGGGGATTAGGTTAGTCTGGCTAAGGTTAGTAGAGTGCATGTATGTTTTTCACATAGACTGCCACAGTCTGTGACTCCAGATAACACCTCAGAAGCCTCAGCAGTCTTCTGGAGTTAGTCTGGTTCCGTGTCTGGTGGCAGTAAAGGTTGAGTACAAGAGTGTACCATAGCGGCCACTAGGGCTCCTGTCCCCAAGGCCTTTGCCACTGCTGCCACTCTGGGATCAACTGTCTTAGTCACAGGTGGGACTTCTGTTGTTTCCTTATATTTTGTGCTTACAGATATTTTGGTATTAAAAAAATGTTCAGAAAGAAGTCTTTGGAACGTTTGGGAAGTAAACATGGAGATAAGGTCTTTATGTATATTTGATTGTTTAGGAAAATGTTTATAGAATGTTTATAGAACTTTCTCAATGCATCAGTCAGTCTGTGGTGGTGTTTCAGGATAAATCTTATGTTTCAGATGGAAGAAAAAAATTGTTGGGTTGGGATATGGCTCACTGGTAAAGGTATTTGCCTGGCATGAATAAGGCCTTGACTTCAATCTCCAGCACTGTAAACAAAATTTCTAGGCCAGTGAGAAACCTCAGGGGGTAAAGGCATTCATGGTGTAAGCCTGATTGATGATTGGAGGTTGAGTCCTAAAGCCCATATTAAAAGCCTGGAGCAGTGGTCCACATCTGTAATATCAACACTGGCACCTTCAGATGGGAAACAGAGAAGCTTGGCCAGAAAGCTTGGAGTACCCACCATAGCAGAAACAGCAGGAGAGATCCTGCTTCAGTCTCCACATATGTGCCCTGTCTCTGTCTGTCTGTCTGTCTGTCT